CAATTTCCTTTTTTATTTCCTCTTTTGCGATATCCGATAACCATAGCTTCTGGTGTTAGGCCATAGCCATCTTTCTGGGGGCAGGGGTAGGATTACTCTGCCTACCACATAGGCCTAATGGTTTCCCATTGCCCATGACATCGTATAGAATTTTTTTCAGAAGCTCTTTCCTACCTTTTTGGTTTTATCTGATACAGCCACCTCTGGTAGTCAGCTCAGGCACGTCTTTCATATTTAATATGTTTGCATGGTTTTCCTCCGCCTCAGAAACTGCTCTTTCTCTGACTTACCCTTCAAGACTCAGGTCAGACCTCGGTGGCTTTGTTCCTGGGAGAGGTAGATCCTTCTGTTCCCTTAGCGCCACGATTATAACACTTATTACATTAGGGAGAGAATTTAGCTCAACATTTGTTTCAGCCACTAGTCTGTGATCCTTTCAAGGACATAGAACATGTTTTATTCAGTTTTGTATTTGTCATACCTACTGCAGTCTCGAGCACACAGTGAGCCCTTCCTAAAGGCTGAGTGACTTCATTAATGAACACTTGTTTTAGTAGTAATGAAACATCACCCTTTGAGCTGCAGTCAATCAAGTCCTAAAGTGCGATAAGGACAGGGACTCTAGATTCCTCATCCTTGGTTCAGTCTGGATAAGTACCTGTTCTGAAATCAGAATTGATGTTTTTGGCATGAAGGTTGAGACAGGCTCAGTGATAATGCAGAGGGGGTGTCACTGCTTTGTCCCTTTCTCTACATCTAGAAAGTGAGGCTGTGAGCCTGGCACCAGCAGACCTGGATGCTATTTCTAAGTGACCTTAACCTCTCTGTGTGTGTTCTTTTCCTTATATATAGAAATGGAAGGAGATTCGGTTTTCAAACCATTATTGAGTGCTTAGTCTGTTCCAGGTGCTAGGGAATTTAAAGACAAATCAGAAATGGTCCCTGTCCTGTACGTATATGTAACTGGTCAGGTTGCCCTTAGGATGTGTTAGGTTTATTCCAGCTCTGACGGTCTCTGATGCATTTGTCTTTCTCTTCCTTGGAGCATATTTGGGAGGAGAGAGGGTAACTGTAGTCCGTGAGAAACCTACAGGGGTAGTGTTCCTTTGGCCAGGAAGCAAATCTGAGACCTGATTATTGCCTCTTTCTGCTCAGTGAGGTGACTGTATTTGCTTCATAAAGCCCACAATATCTAGGAAACCACTTTGCATACCTTTGATTTCATCCTGAGGAAGGAATAACTGAATTTCAAAGCCTAAGATGCTTTGAACATTTATTTAAAGATGGTTTGAACATTTAATCCTAGAGACCTGCTCTCCTTTTTTTTTTTTTTTTCCTCCCCTTCTGTTACCTCTTCACCTCTTCTTTGCTCCTGCATTGAGCCCCCTGCTAGGAAGTGCTAAATGGCAATATACTTAGAAGTTTTTTTTTTTTTTTTTAAGCAATTAAAAGAAGAGTTTGATATTTCCTGTTACAGAATTTTAAGAGGTAGATTTTGTGTTAAATTAGTACTTAGCACATTACTTTTTGCTGTTTTAAAGCGATTTTTTCCCCCAATACAAATGACATACTAATCTCTATGTCATTTCTATTCATGAAGAAGAAACATTTGCACAGTGCTCATTCATCCATGAATGCAGTTTGTAGTTAAACCACATAATGCCTGATGGTACTGTGCTGACAGGCACAGAATAAATAGAACAGATTTTGTTTTCTGAAGATTGATCATTTATAGATCAGTTGATAATTTTTTCTCCAGGTTGCTTCTTAGGTTGATGATGAGAAATTTTTTACTTTTGTAAGAAGCTACGGATTTCAAAGAACCTCTGTCAGTACCACAGACCTACCTACTCAATATCACTTTTTATCTTGAACATCTTTTCCAGAAAAAATAAGTAATATTGGTCACTTGTTTTAAAAACAATATTGCCCAAAATAGTAAGGGTGGGGGCCAAGGTTTTGAGAGAATGGGTTTGTGAGTGACAACTTGTTAGTACAACTCTGTGCTGGCCTTGCAGATTTCTAAGAGAACAGGGAGCCTTTTTATGCATATCTAATTTGTGTTTTAATATTACTTTTCATAAGTACTTTTACCAGCTTTTTATGTTTAAATATTACAGTGTGTCTTCTCAAGCATCTTTGCTTCCTCTGCTGTGCCCTGTCTTACTTTGCTTGTTTTTGATGTTTTATGAAATGTATAGTCTGACTTTCATTAGGTTGTTACCATTCTCTCTGATTTTATTGAGAAATTAATTCCTACCATGAGTTAAAAGATTGTAGTATAAAGTAATTTGGCATAATGCCTCTCTACATTTAATTTGTTAAGTTTGTTTTATAGAGAATTAGTTTATATGTAATATGCACGAGTGGATGTAGGCTTTATTTTAATGACTCACAGTCTATAGTGCAGATGAGTTCTTGGGTAGGTCCAGAAATAGTTGATTTGAGTGTGGGTTCCACTATTCTGGTTATAATTGTAATATTCGGGGTGTTAAAAAAACAGATATGTTCTATTACTCAGACCACAAGACTTGACTTGATTTATTTGGTTTGATAGGCTTCCTAAATTTTATAGTGGGCTCCAACATAAGCATATTAAGTGAAGCAGATTTTGTTATAGTCACATAATTTTGGTATAAGGCAGTTTTAGGAATATTTTCCACAGTGATTGAAGGAGATAGCAGTATGAATAATCCTAAATCCTATAAGCTTTAGAATACCTTTCTGGATATACTTGGTATATAGAGATTGTTAAAAATTCACTTCAAACGAAATACTGGAGTCCTGCTCTGGTGTACTAACTCAGGGGGGCCTGATGAACAGATTCTGTCCACGTATCTCAGTGTCAACCCAAGTAACACTCTAAAATTACCTTTTTTTTTTTTTTTTAAAGATCTTATTTATCCATTTAGGGAGAGAGAGAGAGAGCAGGGGAAAGGGCAGAGGGAGAGGGAGAGAGTATCTCAAGCAGACTCTGTGCAGAGCCTGACACAGGGCTCGATCTCACGACCCTGAGATCATGATCTGAGCTGAAATCAAGAGTTGGATGCTTATCTGACTGAGTCACCCAGGCACCACTCTCAAATTACTCTTTATGTGTTTGATTTCAAGCTTCCCTGTTTCATTTGAAATAAGAATAAATACGGAATAGGATGTCAACAAGGTAAACGAGCGGATGCTGTAGGTGTTTCCATGAAATATGAAAGAGATTTGAAATGCCTTCAGGTAACCTGTGTGTTGCTGATAGTGGAAAGTAAACTCATCACTTTTGAAGTAGCATCCTGGTTTCAAAACACTGACTTCTATTTAAGTTGTTTATCTCACCTTCACTATAATAGTGATCTTTAGACTTTTCCTTTATAGGAGAGAATCAGTGTGTTTATTGCTTGACTTCTTGAATTAGTTACTCTCTGGCTTTCACAGGACAGGGAAGAGATGAGTAAAATAGTTGACAAGAGTCTGCCAATCTAAACGGCAAATTGCATTTTTTTTTCTTTTTTGGTGGGGAAATCAGATTCTGAACATTTATAGGTAAGCTGTATTCACAAGCGTACAAATGAAGATTAATTTTTTTAAAGAATATTTTTATTTTTTCATTTAAAAATTTGGTTTTTATTGTCATGGGAAATGTTCTATTGTGTCTTAAGTAAGAAAATGGTATTATATACTGGTATGTGACTTAAAACATGTTCTTCATATTTAAGAACTGCTTTTAATTATTAGATGAAATTTTGCCCTTAAAGTTCCATTTTTCAAAGGTTACACACAAAATCATACTTACAAATATATATATACAAAGAAATAAACAGTTATATATCCTATCTTTTCCTTCCTCCCTCTTTTTTGGAGACCGAATATATTCTTTATTGTTCAGGGCTTTCTAAATTGCTACTGAAAAAATGTATTAATATCCATTAAGGTAGTTTTTCTATAATTAAGGTGAGCTGTTGAATATTGGCAGTGATGTTCTAATTATATTACAGTACTGATTATACCAATGGGTTTATGAAAAGAGGTGGCTTGGTCAAGATGAATATATTCATTTAAAAATAACAAGCTCTTTTTAAAAAAAAATTGAATTTTGAAGCTTGGGAAATTAGCATTTGTAGAATGCATGACAGTGGTTTGAGAAATTTTCCTAAGACCTCTCTTTTGATAACTTGATGAATTTTTTCCAGCAACCTTTTTGTAGATCTGAGTCTTCCCTCTTTTCTTTTTAATTAAAAAAAAAATTTTTAAGATTTTTTTGTCAGAGCGTGTGCACGCAAAAGCAGGGGGAGAGACTGGCAGAGGGAGAAGCTGACTCCCTGCTGAGCAAGGAGCCCGATGTGGGCATTGATCCCAGGTCCCTGGGATCATGACCTGAGCCGGAGGCAGATGCTTTGCTGACTGAGCCACCCAGGCATCCCTGAGTTTTCCCTCTTTAAATCTTGCCTGATTTCTGTTCTTAGGAAATTCTCAAGTGAGGCTGGTACATGTTTAACAGCCAGCTTTCTGGGTGGGGGGAGATGCTCTCGTTGGCAGCATTCGGTGATTTCTGTGGTGTAGTACTTACAACACGGCAGACTTTATCTACTCACACTATGTCACTGGATACAGAATGGAAGCGATGGGCATAGTCAGCTCTCATCACTACTCCTCCTTTCACAAGATGAATCGATTGATTTTGCACCTGGTGTTATTCTTGTATTTATGATTAGAACATGACAAGAGTAGGGGTGCCTGGGTGGCTCAGTCGGTTAAGCGTCTGCCTTCCGCTCAGGTCACGATCCTGGAGTCCCTGGATCGAGTCCCGCATCGGGCTCCCTGCTCCGCGGGGAGTCTGCTTCTCCCTCTCCCTCTGTCTGCCACTCTGCCTACTTGTGCTCTCTATCTCTGTTAAATAAATAAGTAAAAAAAATAAAATATTTCTGATTATATAGCATTATTGTGATATTCCAAACTAGGATACTGACCATGTATAATTGCCTTTTTTTTTTTTTTTTTTTCCTGTTTATCAGTTGGGTGGAGAGCTTTGGACGCGAGGGGCTTGGACTATTACTGGACATTTTGGAAAGACTGATTAGTGGCAAAATGTAAGTATATTGTTTTTATTTTCAATTAAGCTACATTTGCATGTCCAATTATAATTCCAATACTGATGTGTTTTATGCCAATACAGACAAGAAAAAATTGTAAAGAAGAATCAGCATAAAGTCATACAGTGTTTAAAGGCTTTGATGAATACACAGGTATGTACATAGGTAATTATATTTATTCTTCACCAGTTCTTAGAGAATTTTTATAAAATAGTTGTATATTACAGAATTTGAACTAAAGAGATGTACTGCTTTGATAAGCTGTTGAGTACATAAAGGAAAAAATATTGAATTGCATTGATTTCTAATTTTTTATCAAATCAACCATCTCTCAACAGGAAAAACTTGGGAATTGAATGGATCCTCTCCTGATGCTTAAATTGTCATGTGCACATTAATCCTCTCTTTCTACTCTATTTTTGGTCCCCTTTCTCTTCTTCCCTTCCTTCACAAGGAATAGCACGAATAAGTTTTAAAATCATACATGATAATTAAACGTGGTCTGCGGTAATACTTATCACCAAAGAATCAAGTTGGAAAGACAGTTTTCATAGTCGAGGAACTTAAATCTGCAATGAAATTAACATGAACCGATAGGGAACAGCTCCCAGAAATGGAGCAGTGATGCTTAATGTAAGTAATATTGAGACGAAAGGTAATAGGGCGGGTCTGCAGAGCTTTCATATTTGAAGAGGATATGTTAGAAGAGAGAAATACTGAAAATCCTAACTGAAGTTAGATGTATCTGACAGTGTTTCCTTTTTAAATAGAATTGGTACTGTTAATTACAGAAATTAGCTCTATCCCATGCTATGTCTTTAGCTTCAACATCTAAACATATCTGCCTCATGATGGGTGCAGTAATGATAGGTGTTTTAGTTGCCATTAGACAGCAGGGAGGAATTTACCTGTGGTGTTAGGATGATTTGTGTTTTAGAGCAAAACTATATTTCTGATTAATTTTAATTTTTAATATTTTCACATTTTTAAAATGTGAAAGTCCTTTAAAAGTCCTTTCGAGGACTACACACTTAAGTACTGGTACTTAAGTTATTAACATATTTCTTTTTACTAAATGTAGCAAAAACTTGTATTTTCTGATTATTTTTGTCTTATTTTGTTTTTAACCAATGAAATATTTTTTACCTCCCTGCCTTCTCTAATCAGATAAGATTTTCAAGGAGACTATCTGATGTAGAAATCCACTCTATGTTGTTATATATTCAAATATATTCTAGATTTGTACTCACTGTTGTGTAAGAATGAGATTTTAGGTATCGCAAATGATCTTGTGGATCATTCTTTGAATTTGAGAATACCATAATTTAAGTGAGGTGAGGTGGTATATAGAGGATAATATTCCTGCTTGGTTTGAAACTGAATTGGAGAGCAAGTAAACCTTATATATTTAGGTTCTGATTGATGTAGTGTGTTCTCTTATAATAGACTGCTTTTGCTTATAGTTTGTATCTGTGGAACTAGAATATATTGTCGTTTGTGTTGATTGTGCTAGTACAAATAAAAAGTTGCTGATAATTGGAATGAGTATTATAATGTCTGAATTCTAAAATTAATAATATATGAAATAATTTTTCAGTAAAGACCCCCCCCAAGATTGGTTGATAATTTTTCATTTATCTCACTGTGCAGTATTTATAGGAGTTCATTGAATGATGAAAAAATGCAGGTTTTAAGAGAACAGTGGTACCTTATTAGGTACTAGTATTTAGTTATTAATATAAGGAGCAAGTCTGGTAACAGGTGAAAGTGAATTTCATATAATAAACTGGACTAAATTTCTAAATGGAAGAAGACTTTGGATATCGGGGGGAACAAAAGGATGAGGAGTTAAATATATTTGAATTAAAAGATAATTAGAACAAGGGCTTCATTTTGGTCAGTTAACTTTTTGTGTTGCTTTAAGATGTGCACCCGCAGCAAAGGTGCTTTGCTCCTGAAGCCAGCCCCCTTACCAGTACCAGTGTTCTCTTTGCTCCTGGGATGAACTCACCATAGGGAGTTACTCAGCATCAGTATTCATGTCTTGTTGAGCATCCTACATGGGGATTAGGGTCTTCCCCTTCTCCCACCTAACACTTTCACAGTGGCTTAAAATTCCATCTGTTAGGTAATAATAGGTCTGAATAGAATGCAAATGGAACCTGGCTTTAGTCTTCGGTTTAGAACACATGAGTTTTCATATAAACCAGGGTGGGTCCTTGGCATTCAGTAGAGAGACATCCTTAGACCTTCCAAAATTTGTCACTGCCTCTAACCTTATAACAGGCTTCATTTAATGCACTTTAGATGCTAGCACTGGTAAGTTGATTATTTCTCTCGGAGTCCACAGTTTTTGTTTAGTTTTGCTTTTTTAAAAATAACTGAACAAGAGTAATTTTATTCAAGCAGGCAGCAATTCTGTCTGTAGTTCTAGGTACTCAGTAGTGGTAAGCTGGCCTCATTCCAGCCTTAAAATGAGCACTACTTGTGGTTATGTTAGCAAAGTCAGAATACTGCCGATGATGGAGCTTTTGGAGGTTAGGGGGTGCTAGTCAAAACTGAAATCTGAGAATGCTCATATTCTGCTCTCCCCATTGTTAATGGGTTAGAGCTGGAGGGCTTCCAGAGAAGGTAGGTAGTTTCACCTGGAGGAAATTTTGTGCCTTGCCTTGAGTGGTTGGAAGAGCCACAGGATTCTGATTCCGGAGGTGCAAGCATTGGTTAAGGATGTCCGGGTGGGTGGGAAATGAAGGGGGAAGTGCTTTACTCGGTCCTCAGGTTTCTTAGGACAGAGCCAGCCCTTTGGTACTTGGTAATCATTGATTAATTGACTCTTTGAATTGGATCTAAGTGGTACTTTATAAGCTTCTGACAATTCCCTGGAATAATTATTAAAGAATATTGTGGTCCTTGGCCCCATGCCTGCTTTCTCTTTCTTTGTTTCCAGTTATGAGACAGCCCAGGGCATCACAAAAGCGATCATTGCCTGGCTGGTTTCGCTGTTTGTAAACTTTCCCCTATCACCAAGAAGAGGAAGAAGTCTCTCCAGAGGGCATATCCTGGGGCCCTTGGCCCTCCTGCCTGTGCTGCTGCCTTTGTACCTGTGTTCCTTAGATAGTGGTTTAAAGCAAATGCGGTGTTTCCGCACAGTGTAACGGCTTCTTTCTGTAGATGGCATCGGCGAGATAGGAAAATTATAAATAAGACTTCATACTACTCACAGCATTTGGGTCTAAGCTTGCTATAGGTTTAACTTTGATACTTACATCTAGTGTTAATTTTGAGTTAAGCCATAGTTCCCAGGTCTGTAACTGGGATTAAGGTCCTTTTTGGTGCTCAGTAGTAATTCTGATCAACCAATTTCTCACTCCTTAGAGGGATCCTCTGGGATGCATGGAAGATAAATCGTATCGTTTTATTGCTTCTATTTATTCTCTGTTATCTGATACTTATCTTCCATAGATTGTAAGTGGGCCCTAAGAGATGTATACATCCTTAAATCAAAACACGAAGTCATTAACATGACTCCTTATCTTCTAATTGGATGTGACATCCTAGCAGTAGCAAACAAACTTTATCCTTATCCAGCATCATCCCATTTATATAATGTGTTTACAACTGCATTGTCTTTCTGATGATAAAATACCATTCTGATTAGAATACCTATGCTCCTCATGGCAGTTTCTACATGGTATGTGCCCAGGTCATCTTTCACCTTGTGCCCATCAGAGGAACTCCGTGTTAGTCTTTAGGTCTGCACCGTGTTATGTGGTCACCACATGTGGCTGTCGAACACCCGAAATGTGGCTTGTCTGAATGCAGATGTGGTGTACATAGAAAATAGACACTGGATTTTGAATACTTAGGAAGGAAAAAAAAAGGTAAAATAGCTCACGAACAGATGTTTTATATTGAGTATGTTGAAACAATTGTATTTTAGATATATTGGATTAATTTCATTAAAATTTTGCTTTTTGCTTGGGGACTTGATATTGCCCCTGTGGTTCTCATTCTGTTTCTGTGGGAGAGAGTTGATCTGTATGTTTACTGGTGATAGTGTATCCCTTACCCACCTTCCTTTCCTGCAAAGCTGCTCACCCTCAGCATCTGATTGAAAAATGGACTGTTCATTTTGTGTGTTCCTGTTGGGAAATCTCAATTTTCCTCACTGCTTCTCCCTTTCTCCAGGTGGTTACTTATCTACCTTGATAATTATCGGTCCTACCATTGTAAAATCACCTTTGAGAAGTTACTTATATTTGGTTGACTCTCCTACTTCTTGATGTGAATACTGCTATAATTTTTATTTAAAAAAATTTTTTTAAGAATGTTAGATATTCCTGTAAAATATTAGATATTCCTGTAAAAATATATTATCCTATCAACTTTTTAAATACGTTTCCTTTAGGGTGCTGTTTTTTCCAATAAATGGCTATCATTTAACCTCTTATTTCCAAAATGTTACAGTATGGCTTGGAAAGAATTATGAGTGAAGAGAGGAGTCTTTCTTTATTAGCCAAAGCCATCGATCCCGAGCACCCAAGTATGATGACAGATGTGGTGAAACTCCTGTCTGCGGTGTGCATTGTAGGAGAAGAAAGCATGTAAGTCTTCTCAACTCAGTTCTCTAATTATGTAACAGTATAATTTGATTTACTTAATGTTCCTATTCTATTTTAGACTGGAATTTACTGTTAATAAGTGAATACTACTTAAGCAGCTGATTTAGATTCATAATTGGCCAAACAGAAATGTTTGAGTAATAATGATTTCTTGGTCAATATAATAGTTATAGGTTAACATGTTTCTATGAAAAACTGATTTCTTCATCATATTTATTTTAAACTGTACTGAATTCAAACTGTAAATAAAAATTCTCAGTGAAGACTTAAAAAAAAGTACAAATGGATTCTGTTTCTAATGTATTTTTGTTTTCCAGATAGTTAATTCAAACTCATGTATATTCCCTTATAAAATCATACATCATACTATTTAGAAATCTCTTTGTAAGGCAGATTTGCAAAGTGTTATATGAAATAGTAGTACTTTACTGGTTGAAGGTACATAGTCTTTGGCCATAATGTACATCCTGAAGTTTTAAACTTTAAAGACATTATCCGCAAATGTTACGGTTATAACTAAAAGACCGTTACATACATATTAAAAGATAACTATAAAGATAAACCTTTTTTTTCTTTAAAGGTTGGGGTACTTATTACAGGAAGCATTTAAAAATTATTTAAAATGCCTTTTAAAAAGGCTAAAGATAAGGGTACTTGTGATGAACACTGGGTGTTACATGTAAGCGATGAATCACTACATTCTCCTGAAACCGATATTACGCTGTATGTTAACTAATAGAATTTAAAAACTTGAAACAAAACAAAACAAAAAACAAAAGGATAAAGATAGAAAAAACGGAACAACTAATAGAACAAAGAGAAATAGCCCTTTCATAAAGGCTAGGCAGAGGCCTGTGAGCGGAACCTCCCGCACGCATTTGAAAATTGCCCTGGTGGTAATCCCACCAGGGCTGAGAGTGTTGGGCTGCCCAGTGTGGACTCGCTGGAGAGTCTGCAGGCCCTACTCGTGCCTTGCCCTCCGGCTGCACAGCTGCAGCGCGCATGCGCATCCGTGGACGAGGCCGTCCCCCGCGGCTGCCCCAGCGCGCAAAGCCAGGCGCACAGTCTCCGCACTAGCTCTCCCATTTTCAAAAGACCCTATTCATTTTATTGTAGAGTTTATTTAATGATGACACATAGGATGCTCCTTGTGCTCCCCCTGCGCCTTTCTCTCCTCCTCTTCCATCTTCCTCCCCCTCCCTCTTTCCCCTCGCATTTCTTGTTTCTTTTTCCTCTCCCTCTTCCTTCCTTACCACCTTCTCCTTTCCTTTCCCTCTTCTTGTCCCTCTCCTTTCCCTCTTTTCTTTACCCTCTCTTTTTCCTTTTTTTTTCCCCCACCTTCTTCCTCCCCCACTTCCCTATTTATTATTTCTTGACTTCATCATAGGTTATCAAAATGATGTAGATAATGTTTACGGACTACATGTCTGTGTCTACGAAGTGAGTTTCTACAATATGCTAGGTCGTGTTAACACTGTTCTTTAAAGGAGTAGCAAGTGTAGTTCTTGTGTAACTATTATTTTTTATGTTTGACTGTAAATCCTTTGGCTACCAGACTTCATTTATACTCAAAAGGAAGGAGAGTGTAGTGGTTAAGAACGCCGAGATGGTGCTCACCACACAGACTGATTTCAGATCCCTGCTCCATTTAGGAGATGTGAGGCCTCAGACAAATTGCTTATCTTTCCCCTCTGTTTCCTAATCTATAATAAGGGATAATAAAATCTACTTCATAGAACTATATACATTAAAAAGAGTTAATATTTGTAAACTGGTTTAAATAGTGCCTGATGTGTAGAAAGCACTTTATAAGTGTTCAATAAATAACCCTCATCATAGGGTTATTAGGAATAAATGAGTAAAAACATGTAGCTAGTACTTGATAAATGCTATGTACTTAGCTTTGAAAATGTTGCTGCTTGCTTAAGAGTAGTGATTCTGGAGTTGCGTAGATCAAGCAGTTGTCTTAAGGCATTGGGATTATTTGCTGTTTGCAATTTAATTAATTTCAAAATTTCTGATAGCCTTGAAGAGGTTTTAGAAGCTTTAACATCAGCTGGAGAAGAAAGAAAAATTGACAGATTTTCACCTATTGTGGAAGGTCTCCAGCACGATTCAGTTCAATTGCAAGTAGGTTTCATGCATAACCCTACATACTGTTTTGTATCTGTTTGCTCACTGGCTTATATTCAAGTATGAAACCCTGCATGTCTAATATTTTATAATATTTCAAATAATGTAGAGAATTCTATTAATGTATCTTACAGATGTAACTTGGCGGATACCTATTATTATTTCCTTAGGTTACTTTCCTAGAAGCTGACTTACTAGAGATCTCTGTAAAATATATATAATCATAGTCCATAAATTGTTTATTCTTGGTTAGTCTCAGTTGATTACTACAAATTTTAAGAAGTTTGGGCAATTAAGTGAATTATGGCTTTTCATTGATTTATTAGTTTTTATATTGGAAAAGTTAAGACTTTCCATAAATAATAATGAGACCAAGGTACACTAAGATTTTCAAAGATATTTAAATATGTAAGTGCTCCTGGAAAGTCACTTTTAGACTTAACCATTATAATGTCCAAGCTGCATAATTAATATTCATTTAATTTCTCCCTTTTTTTTTTAAAGAGTTCTTTTTATTGCTGGCATTATTGTTAAAATTATTGCTAATAATCTGAGTATCTTTAAGGAAGTAATTGATACCTGACTCCCACCTCCCAGTATTTTAAAAATTTAATTGGTGTGACCTGGCTGTTGGGATTTTTAAAGATTCTCAGATGATTCTAATGTGCAGCAATATTTGAAAACCAGGATGTATGAATAGCTATAAAGTAAATTTATTTCACGCTTAATTAGTAAAAAGTTACAGTTTTAAATTTTATTTTAAAGCTCTGTGTAGCTTGGCCTTTGTATTGTTTCTTGTTGGGGTAGGAATAGAAAAACCAAATCTCCATGTTAAATTAAAAAAAAAGGAAAGATGGTATTTGATGAACAGTCAGAAAATCTTAGGGATGGTCAAATGAATAAATTTACTGTGGCATTTCTGATGAAGGTATTTGTGATGGTGACCTTCCTGATAGTGTTTGTGAATGGCTAGTGAGGAACCCTGTTATGATTTGTTTCTCTGGGCTGGAAGCAGGCCTGGAGATTCGAGTGTATGGTCCCTGTTGCTTAGGTCCCATTACCAGAGCTTCTTGAAAAAAGCCTCTCCTGACTCATCGGGGCTTGTCAGAGAGGCTGGAACAGGGGTCTGGGATGTGTTGTCCACCTCTGATGTGGACCCCGCTCCTTCAGTTTTTTGATGTGTGCTCTGGAGTCTTTTTTATCATATACTACTGCTCTCATTTCCCTTCTCCTCCTTTCTCATCTGGCACCAGAGCTCCTATTTACCACAAGCCTAAAAATGAACAGTAAACCGAGAAGAAACTTTGTAGAGAAAAACTGAACACTTACTTTATCTGAATTTTCCTTTACTACCCAGGTTACCTTTTACTCATAGAGTATTTATGCAAATAGCACTAGGTTATCAGATTAATTTTGGTCATTTTTGTAGCATATTAGAGTTCATGTCCAATTCTTAAAATTTCACTTAGGAAATGTAATAGTCACATGTAAACTTTATCCTCTAAATACTTTTTATGCTAATGTATGCTTTTTTTTTTTAAAGGTTTTATTTACCTGAGAGTGAGAGGAAGCAAGTATGAACGGGGGCTGGGAATTGAAGGGGTGGAGGGGCTGAGGGGCAGAGGGAGAGGGAGAAGCAGGCTTCCCATGGAGCAGGGAGCCTGATGCGGGGCTCGATCCCAAAACCCTGGGATCATGACCTGAGCCGAAGGCAGACGCTGAGCCGCGCAGGCGCCCCTACTAATGTGTACTTTTTGATCTAGTAACACACATGTCCCTAGAGTGGGAGGGGTGGTGTCTTGTGATAGAAGGAGTAGACTTGTGAGTCAAGCAGCTTGAATTTAAGCCCCAGCCCTTGGCATCCTGGCTCTGGGACTCTGAATCCTGCCCCAGACCACGTCTATGCTTCAGTTCCCTCACTTGTAAGAGAAGGATAATATTTATCACTACCTCATTGTTGATGTGGGGTTACATATATGAATGTATTTAAAATGCTTAGCTTATTTGCCATAAACGTTGAGTAAATGCTAGCCTTAGAAAGTAATTTTGTTAAATTAAAACCAAAGTCAATGGAGAATGGGGATTGAAGGGGATCTTCCTTTTTCAAAAACCTTAGCTGTGTTGATATTAAAATTGTTATGTAACTACAACTCAGCAGTTATACTCGTGAACATAACCCAGATGAGTAAAACACAGGTTCATACACAAACCCATACACAAGTTGTTATAGCAGCTTGATTTGTCATAGGCTCAAATTGGGAACGATCCAGATGTTCAATAGGTGAATGGTTAAACTGTGGACACCCATACCACGGAATACTTAGTATTGAAAAAGAATGAACTATTGATACATAACAACAACTTACGTGAATCTCCAGGGAATTACCTTGATTGAAAAATGCCAATCCTAAAGGTTACAAACTGGATGATTCCATTTATATAGTAGCCTTGAAAGAACCAAGTTTTAGAGATGGAGAAGTTTAGTGGTTGCCAAAGATTTAGGATCGGGTCTGGGAAAGTGTTAGGTGTGGCCATAAGTAAATGGCAACAGAGGGTTGTGTGTGGTGCAACAGTTCTGTGTCTGGATTGTGGTCACGGTGGCGAATCTGTACATACAATGAAATTGCATAGAACGCTACTTGGACACACAAATGAGTGTAAGGCTGCTGAAATCTGAATAAGCTCTGTGGATTGTACCAATTTCAATTTCCTGGTTTTAGTGTTACGTTACGATTATGCAAGATGATACCATGGGGCAGAATTTTGCCAAGGGTACCTAGGACCTACCTGTACGTTTTTCCTTTTTGCAACTTTCTGTATATCTACAATTATCTAAGAATAAAGAGTTAAAAAAACATCCTGGTAAAAGTGGGGTCCCAATTTGTTTACAGCAGTATTATGGTCACTTAACATTTTAAAGCTGTGAGGAAAGGGGTTAAGAATGTCTTGTTAAGAACAAAGCCATGTTTCATCTAGGTAAATAACACGATTGACTCATTAATTGAAAGGTGACTATCACAACCTTAAAATTCATGGTAACTTACATATTAAATTTTTTTTGGCTATCAAACATTGAGGTAAACTTGTCTAATCTTGTAGAATTAAAATTGATTACCATATGAACCTGAAGCCAAACTACACGTATCAAAAATATTCCTGGGTATGTTTAGCCATTTCTATTGTGGGCAGTTACTCTCAGTTTATTGAAGGTGCTACCATATGGAAAATAGATATCTATAAAATTCTCTGAAAGAGAATGGCCATTTAAAAATTGAGAATGGATTATTAGTTTATAGAAGACACTAAGACTTGAAGAAATTAAACTATATTTAAAGATTGATGTAATTTTGAAAGGATTCCTTTTTTTTAAGTTTTATTGAGATAAAATTCACGTATCATAAAAGTTACCCATGGAAAGTTGGCAGTTCAGTATTTTGTATAATCAGAATTGTGCAATCTTCTCCATAACCAAGAATGTTCTCATTACCCATAAAAGAATCTCCTTATCCCCTCTCCCAACCCCTTCACCGTCACCTTGATTTACCCTCATTCCCTCTAGCTCTAGACAACTGTTAATCTGTCTCTATAGATTTTCATATTCTGGATTTTTGATAAAAATCATACAGTATGTGGTCTTTTCTGACTGGTACTCTCACTTAATATTTTCAGTGTTCATTCATGTTGAAATATGTATCACAACTTCATTTTTTTCCCTCCAAATATTAGGCTATTCTATGGATATTCCACATTGCTTATCAGTTGTATGTTGGTGGAAATGTGGGTTGTTTCTAATTTTTGACTTTTATGGATAATGCTACCTGTGAATATTGGTGGAGATGATTTCTTTTTTAATGACTGCTTGTTTGCCATATTTAGTGTTAAGGAATAAGGGTGGGGGCATAGCTAGCAAGCAACATCTCGCTTGGATAGTTGTTGAAGTCAACCATTTGACTCAATTCTTGAAAAATTTTACCAAGACCTAGGTGGCTGATTATATTTGCTCTTATGAAACTAATTGCCTTCGTTGTGAATAATTATATTTTCTTTTACGGTTATTTTTTGAAACATTAAAATTTCTTGATACAGTTTTTAAAGTTTAATTTTCATTGAGAGCAGAGAATGATGAAATTCAGCTTTGCCAGTGTGTCATTTTCAACAGTGTAGGGCTCTTTCTTCTCTTGCTAGAAAGCGGTTCCTCTTAACCAGTCACTTGTTACCTTTAATACCGGATTCTTGCTTAGAGCTCCAGATTTGTCCTGCTACTCCTGCCCCCCATTCTGTCCCCCCCCCAGTCAGACACAGATTTTTTTAATGTTTCATGCCCTCTCTCTCATGCTGATTTTTACATGTGTTATTCTCTCTACTAAGAACACCTTTCCCCCCCTAATGTGCCTGCCTCGATAATCTCATACCGTTAGGGAACCCTTCACAGATACTTCCTCTCTGTGTTGGTTTGCTAGGGCTGCTACAACGAAGTACCACAGACTGGGCAGCTCAAATGAACTGAAAGTTCATTTTAGCATTTTTTTTTCATTTTTTTAAAATAAGTTCAGATTAAATTTCTATACTCTTGATTATGAATAAATGATGGGAAAATTTTTTTTTAAATTTATTTTCCTACTCAACCTTTTTGTTCTGGGTTTTTACTCTTGAAGGAAGGTTCTCATTATTACTAAGCCTAAGCTAGCAGGTGGAAAGCTTAAGTTAGGATTGAAGGTACTGTTTTCCAGATAGCTAATGTAGGGAGTTAGGGGGTGTGGGGAAGTAAGTAGATTGTCTTTTCTGGGACTGCTGGTTGTTCTCTATGTCCTTTAAAAAGATCAAGCAACCTTTTAGTAATATCTAAAAATACTTTCCTCTTTGGGTGTTTCTGAATTTTCTATAAGTAAAGTATATTTTAGAGCTAGCTGGTTATCAATTTTCCCATAAAGCTATTGCTCTAAGTGCCCATTTTATACCATTACCCACATAATTTGCATTTATTGAATGTACTAGTC